TAAAAGTAAGTGTAATTTATGCCAAATTTGGCAATAGCCCACACAACAATAAAAAAGGGAAGTGGATGTGGATTGAAGCTACTACAAGAGAGAGTGGCAAAATGATATATATATATATATAGTGTGCGGTCCCCATTAGGTTGGGAACAAAATATTTTTTATTTGAAAATAAAAATTATTTAATTTTTTATTTTCATAGAAATTAAAATTATCTAACTTACTTGATTATTTAATTTTGATATTTTCAATAAAATGCAACATGCCTAATTTTATAAACCAATGACAAGGGTATTTTAGTAATTTAATATGTTATCAATTTTATATTATGTTAAAATTTAATAAAAGTATTACAATAATTTTAAAACAAAATGCTACATGTTGACCTCCTATTAAACACTCATATTGGTATTTATGTAATTGTGGTATAAAGAGCAATATAGTTTTGGTCAATTATAGTAGAGGGGCATTTTCGTAAGTATGGTATGAAGAGTATTATAGTAATTTTGGTCAATTATGACAAAAAGAGTATTTTCATAATTATGGTAAGAAGACATTATCGTAATTTTGAAACAAAATACCATATGTCAACTTTTTATGAAGTACTTATAAAAACATTTACATAATTATGATATTATAATAATTTTGACCAATTATGGTTGGTTGTAATTTTTGTAAGTATAGTATGAAAGGTATTATAGTAATTTTAGCTAATTATGATATGATTGGTATTTCTATAATTATGATAGAATGGCATTATAATAATGTTGGCTAATTATAAAAAGATGGACATTTTCACAATTATGGTAGAAAGGCATTATAGTAAATTTGAATACATATCAACATCATATTAAATAAACAAATGAGCATTATAGTAATTTCTATGAGAATTATTTTAATATATGTTATTTAACATTTAATAAGTAATTTAATATAGTAAATTTCAAACAAAATTTCACATGACAAGTATTTATGAAGCAGTGCAAGGATATTTTAGCAATTCAATACATAGTTAATTTTATGTTACGTTAAAATGTCATATATAATTTAATAAGAGTATTATAGTAATTTTTAAATCAAATGTCACATAACAAATTTTTATAAAGTAATGGCAAAGATAAATTAATAATTTAATATATAGTTAATTTTATATTATATTAAAACTTAATATATAATTTTATAGAGATATTATAGTAATTTTGAAAAGAATATCACATGTTAACTTCCTATGAAATACTTATAACAGTATTTCTGTAATTATGATATGTTAAGGGTATTTTTTTTAATTTTGATAGGAGGACTATTTAGTAATTTTAGTTAATTATAGTAGAAGAGATATTTATGTAATTATTGTAGGAAGGTATTCTAGTAATTTTAGTTAATTATAAGAAGAGAAGTTTTTTAATAATTACAATAGAAATGTATTGTAGTAAATTTGGATATGTATCGATATCATATCAAATAAAAAAAGTGCTATTATAGTAATTATCAGGAGGATTGTTTTAATATATGTTATTGATTTTAAAATAAAATGCCACATGTTAATTTTTTATTAAATATTCATAAGGGCATTTTTATAATTATAGTATGATGACGTTATAGTAATTTTGATCAATTACAAAAGAAAGAATATTTTCATAATTATGATATTAGGGTATTATAGTAAATAATTATAAGAGAAAAAATATTTATGATATGAGGGCATAATAATCAAGTTGGCCTTGTGTCAATTTTTTATCAAACAATGAAAAGGGTATTTTGATAAATTTTATGGATATTTTCATAATTATAGTATAAAAGTATAATAGTCAATTTGATCATATGTTAATTTCTTATCAAATAATGAAAAGGGTATTTTTGTAATTTGTTAGAGGAGGTATTATAGTAATAATTATAAGAAAAAAAATACTTTCGTAATTATGATATAAGGACACAATAATCAATTTGACCACATGTTAATTTCTTATCAAATGATAGAAAGGGTATTTACTAATTTTTTAAGGGAGGTATTATAGTAAATAATTATGAGAGAATATATCTTTTTATAATTATGGTATAAAGGTATAATAGTTAATTTGATCACATGTTAATTTTTTATTAAATAATAAAAAATGCATTTTAGTCATTTCTTAGGAGATTACTTAATAAATAATTATAAGGGTAAGAGTATTTTTATAATTATAATATAAGAACATAATAATCCATTAGGTCACGCGTCTCTTTCTCATTATATAACGGGAAGGATTGGTACGTTCCTAAGGGATTTTTTTCATGTATTATATATATATATATATATATATATATATAATATTTTGTATATGGGGTTGAGAAATGCATTTTATGAAGTTTTTAGCTTGCTAAAAATGCAAAGGTGGCTAAGTTGTCATGCCTCGGTTAAGACTGTTAGATCTACCTCAAGCTCTTAGTAAAATGCTATGATTCTGTCTGTTTAAAAAGCCCTTTGATGCTTTAGTTTAATCAACTAATTTGCTGGAATGTACGCACACAAATGTATGGATTGGCTTCTCGAATTGTGGTTTTTACCTTATACAAGACAATCATGATCCAGGCATCATGGAGTGTCTTATCATCTAAAAATGTAACTTCACATGTTTCTATATTTTGATATGATCAATCTGATTTTGACAGGAACAATAGGAACCCCAGTTCTGATCCCGGTTTTTGGTTGTCTTGTCGAGCTCTATGCTTCAAAGCATGTAAGATTCTTTGGCTTTTTTAGTGACCAATATTTTGCAATGTAATCGAGATATTCAAATTCTCATCTGATTCATTTCCTTCCAATCCATTAGTCTCTTCCAACTGATAAACATGTGTTTTATCCTTTTCATTAGATACCAAAAGATCAAAACATCATAGAGTTTGTTACAACTGAATGCAATGCACTTTTAAAACTAGAAGTCACGACTGCAGAAAGCTACACAAAACCAAGTCTTGACAAATGGTATCTCAACACATTGCTCGAAAAAGACTTGCATAACTTACCATTTTGCTTTGGCTCGTCAACCTTCATCCCCAGAATACAATCCATTCCCCTTGTATCGGAATCAAACTCCCAGCCTAGCCTGGATGGATCGTACAGCGGTTCCAGTCCCTCAATTGAACTTCCCCCATTTGCTTCAGGTTCTGCCTATATTTCTCAAGATGAGCAATTGAAACAGCTAATTGGTACATATCATGGAACAAAAAGACTAATATGCAGCAAAAATGTGTCAGAGTAACAAGGAGGGCTTGTTCTGGATCGTAAAATAAAGTCTGTAAATGATAAAATGAGAAGTGCCAAGCAGCCAGAAAAAGTGAATTATCATTCTAAGAATCTTGTCACAGAGAGGAACAGAAAGAAGAAGATAAAAGATGGGCTCTTCAAGTTACGAGCTGTTGTCCCTAAGATATCAAAGGTTAGTCACAACTACCAAAATCTGCAATAGCCAAGTTTACTGTTCTGCCCTCTTGTTTCGTATCTCTAATGTTTTTGTTGTTCAATATTGTAGATGGATAGAACTGCTATTCTTACAGATGCCATCGAATATATAAGGGATTACAGGAGGAGGAGAAGAAACTCCAAAATTAGCTCAGGAAAATCGAGGAAGGGGACTGTGAAAAGAGCAACGCAGAACTGAAGTCTACAATGTTAGACAGGCTACATAAGGACATCATGTCTGCCGTTGAGCAGAACCAAGTTTCCTCTGGCCTCGCTGAAATGGCAAAAATGGAGGTAAATGGATTGAAATTGAACACTGATTGTGTTGTTACTTTTGCCGCAGTTTCTTTCTTCTTTTTTTTCTTTTGGCATACTTTTGTCGCACTTTCTGTGTACTTTTCAATTGGAGCAAACATCATCAATTATAGTCTCAACTAACTTATGTCTTGAATCTTTTCTTAGGTACATGTAGAAGTGAACCAGATAAACAAAAGAGAGTTTTTGATTAAGGTCGACTATGAGTACAAGCGAGGTGGCTTCGCAAAGTTGATGGAAGGTATAAATTCTTTGGGACTTCGGGTGTTTGATGCTAATGTCACAACATTTAATAGAAAAGTGCTCAACATTTTCAAAGTTGAGGTAAGACTCACTGGATGGATGATGTCAATGGAAAAATAGTGCTAACATCTTTTGGAGGTTTCTTAGGGACAATATGGATTCAATAAGTCCATTTAGCTTTGCAAAGTACCAAAAACATAGTCTAATAGTGTTATAATAGCACCATAACTGCAAAGATTGCAAAGCGGAAATGACTTATAATTTTGTTTATCTATTGAAGTTCTGTGTGAAACATGTCATTTTCTTCTCCGGCTTATATTATCTACTAACACTGTCTCTGTTAAACTTATGCAAGGCAAACAGGGATTTTCAATCCAAGAAATTGAGAGATTTGTTGGGAGACCTAACAAACTAGACAAATCAGATTCCTGCTTCTATATACAGTATAGAAAATGTACAATAAAATGGACAGCTCAGCTAAGAGATTCGAAACCGCTCCATTCATGCCACTTTACTTGAAGCTGCTGCAACAATCAAGTCTCAGAACTTTTGGCTGTAAAATTTTTGTGGGTTCTCCTCCCTTTGGTGCTGGTTCTTACGCATGTAGTTTTACCAAATTCTACATAAAATTGTTCACTCTATGATTACAATCCAGTTTCTGTTTCATGTTGGCTTCCTTTTCTTCACATATGACTTCATTTTTTTTTTTCTAAATTTGTGCCTGATAATTGTGCTCCATATGCACAAGCCTAATTAGCCTAGTCAAACGGAAGCATGTCAAAATCATTCAACAATATGATATTATTAATTCTTGTTAAACCTCAATGATGACAAATTCTTGTAACATTATCTAACGAGTAAAGGTTTTTTTTTTTTTTTTTTCTATTTTTTTCCCAACTTTTTTAACGAGGAAAGAAGGAAAGAAATACTATATAAGCATTTGCTATATCCTCTCTTTTGTTTATTAGAATCTAGATTTTGCATTGGAGTCAGAAGCCTCTTGAGATTATTCACTCAAAACTGAAACCATATCGAGTTAGTTACCTATATTAAGAATTACTCTTTACAAGCTTTCCCCATACTCAAAATTGATGATTCAAGGGAACTAAAGAAATTATCAATACATTTACATAAGAATGCTATGGACAATAATTCATTTGAATCCAAATGTGCCAATAGCCCAGGTAATTGACATTTATCTGAAGCGACCACCACCATAGTTCCCTGAGGCGCCACTATACTCGCTACCATTTGATTTAAAGGGTTTAGTTTCTGACTCGCCACTCGTGAAGTCACCCGAACTATACCGGGAATTACAAGAATTTCGCTGTCCACGTGATACTTCCCTGGAATTGTGTTCTCCACTATACATGTCAAATTCCGAGCTGATGTCACTGCCAAGTGCCATCCTCCTGAACTTTATAATTTCTTCATTGTACTGGCCAGAATCATAAGCAGTGCTCTGACCGAATTTCACCCCATTAGAAAGATCAGACTCTCCCTCGAAGTCCAATGCTCTTACCACCTGTAAGATGTTGAAGAACTATAATTCAATGTTCGACTCTTCATAAAACTCCATAGCATGATACCAGAAAGATAAAAGGAGAAAATGGATTGAATGCTATATCTTTAGTCCCACTAAGCATGAAACTGTGCAAAACCAGAAACAAATACTGGCAGGAAACATAGACAAATGAAAAGATGCGGTTTGCTAATATTACCAGCGCCATGCGAGGCCGCTTTGCAGCAGAATGCCGAACGCATGCAGCAGCTGCCTCAATCATCCTTAACACCTCCCTCTCTACATAACGCTTTTCTACCCGTGGATCAATTAATTCACCAAAATCACCAGTTTCAAGGGCTTGAATGAGGAGTGGTCGTGCCTGCCAAAATTATGATAACATTTCTCAATTGGAAACCAAGAAAACAAATCATAGGGACACTAAAAAATACATCATTTTAGCAGTCTAATTCATTATAGTATTCTCTTTCTGTTTTTTTGGTATTTCAGTTTGAAATTTGATAAAAATATATACCAGAGACCAGAGTATAGAGCTTTAAGGAGAAAGTAGAAACTTTTTCAAGATTTAATCTAAAGGAGGACTTTATAAATGGTTAATTGTCTTATCCATACCCATTCGACCAAACTCTCGTCTCCCAAAGGCTGAGTTGGATCAACTGGTTTTCTCCCTGTTATAAGTTCTAAAAGCACAACTCCGAATGAGTAAACGTCTGATCTATCCGTCAGCTTTCCACTTGATGCATACTCTGGTGCCAGGTACCTGAAAAACAAATGAAACACCTATAAAAGCTTAATCATTCATGCATAGTCTTAACTCCATTATTAGAGAGAGATAAAAAGAGAGTTGGAGAAAAACAGAAGAATTCCAACCCTGTAAATCATGACCTACCCGAATGTCCCCATTACTCGAGTTGAAACATGGGTCTGAGTAGTGTCGTTAAGTCTGGCAAGTCCAAAGTCTGCAACCTGCTTTGAAGAAACTAATATTTACATTGTAATGCTACCCTTAACAAATAGAGAGAATTTTTTTTTTCTCTAGGTACATAAGGGAAAGGAAGTTGACAAAAGAAATAAGATTCACTTGCCTGCGCTTCAAAATCATCGTCCAACAGAATGTTTGCTGACTTAATGTCTCTGTGAATAATTTTTGGATGACCTAAAAACATATCACTTAATAAGGACTGTAAGAAACACTAATCATAAGCACAGAACTATGACAGGACCAAAAGGATTCAGAATGGCAAACTAGGTGTGATTTGTGGTTCACTTTTAAATTATATGAATCCAGCCATTTAGTTTTAGAATATTGTGGAACTTGATAGTGGCCTAAGGTTGACGGAATATATGTATGAGCCTTTCTTGTCTTAGCTATATGCACCACGCAAGATACTAGGAAACCCAAACCAAAATTGGAAAACTAATTATATTCATGATCACGTAATATACAGTTTAAGAATCGAAAAGGGAATCAAAGGGTAGTGATTCTGACATGTAAATCCGTATGTTTCTTTGAAATAGAAATGTTATCAGAATGCATGAAGAGATACATACAATCTTCATGTAAATATGCCAAACCCTTGGCAGCTCCTACAGCGATCTTGACTCTTTTGGCCCATTCTAGCACTGGCAGGTCTTTAGCTGATGCACAATAAATTCCCAATATTAGAACCAAATTAATATCTGTTTTATTTGGGGGGCGGGGAGTGTGCGTGTAAGGAAGAACCATCTTACCGTGTAAATGATGTTCAAGAGTGCTATTTGGAACAAATTCATAGATTAGCAATCTCTGATTTTCAGCAATACAATATCCAACCAAAGAGACCAAATGTCTATGATGAACACGGCTAATAATCTCAACTTCGGCCCGGAATTCTCGATCCCCTTGTCCACTACCTGCCTTTAACTGCTTAACAGCCACAAGTCTCCCATTTGGCAGCCACCCCTTATAAACACATCCAAACCCACCCTCACCAATAACGTTCTGACGAGAAAATCCGTTGGTCATTTCCATCAACTCTTCATAGGTGAAAAATGCCTTAGAACCAACTATAATATTAATATCCGAGTCGGGACCACGGTAATTCTGTCCTCCTTGACTGCCAAAAACGTTTACCAAATCAGATTGCTGGCCATGAATTTGAGAATTATAATGGGCGGCATCATTTTGGGCCGAATGTCCCGTGTATGCATCTGCATAATTAAGATAAATGTTAAATGTTTAAACAGAAAGAATTAAACTAAAAACACAAAAAAGGATATATAGTCAACTTTTTTACCTGATGTCCCTGAAAAGTTAGCAGGTGGCGGCATGTAATTGGAATAGGGACTTGGTCGTCTCTTCTTTCTTCTCCTTAGAAAGAAAAACACGGCAATGAATGCAATCAGAAAAACACCCGCCACTGCCACACCGATCACAACTTCATAGCTAGGGTTTTTCGTATCATTGGTATTGTTTTGTCTGTTACTATTAGAGCCTCCGGAATGTGAAGATCCACCAGTGCTTGATGAGTTAAAGGGACTATTGGGTGGGCTTGCGGCACGAGGAACTAGTGTTGGAGGAGAAAAACCAGATGATGATGAAGTAGATCCATTTACTGGTGGTGGAGGTGAAAATACATGTGAAGTTGTTGACGTGGAGTTTGCTGAAGGTGGTGATTGTGACGTTCCAGAAGAAGGTGGCGGTGGTGAAGGACTACTTTCTGAGGAATTGTCAGGAGGATCAGAAGGAGTAGGAGGAGGAGGAGGAGGAGAAGGAGGAGGAGGAGAAGGAGAGGGAGGAGGAGGAGACTTCTCTGGCGAAGATTGTGATGATTCCTGAGAAGGGCTGCTGGGAGGTGGCTGTGATTGCTGCATAGGAGGGCCAGGAGGTGGTGGTGATTGCTGCTTAAGAGGGCTAGGAGGTGGTGGTGATTGCTGCTTAGGAGGAGGGCTAGGAGTTGACTTGGATGATGATGGTGATGATTGTGGTGAACTTTCCGCTAATGGTGGCGACGGCGTCGTTGGAGGTGGTGGATGTTTATCTGGCGACGGTGGGGGTGGTGAGGTTATAGGTGATTCAGCGTCTGAAGGTGGTGAAGGTGGTGAAGGTGGTTGCTCATTTGAAGAATCATCCGGAGGAGGTGCAGAGTTTGATGAATTAGAACTTGGTGGGGGTGCTGGTGGTGAATCATCTCCGGACTCCTCTAAATTCGCTAAAAAAGAACTGCTTTTATTATCGTCAGAGCTTGAGTCATTTGGCGGAGGAGCAGAGGCTGATGAATTCTTTTCACTATTTGAAGAAGTATCAAACATCTGTGTCTCCTCCGAGTCCGACATTCTCCTTCCCTAGTAACCCTCCTTTCTTTATACTCAAAACATTTTTTTTTTTTTAAATGTTGAATCCTGCTTTGTTTCTTTTCCTATTTGAATCTCAATTAGAATCCTACAATGTTCCTACAGCAACTGAAAAACTATCTTTCTTTCTATGTTCAAATGATTAAAAGTAGTAACAAAATATTTCACCAGACAGAAAGCTATTAAAAAACACTAAAATCCTGTCTAAATATGATGTCCTAATGTCGAAAACTATGTTTCTGTTTTCAATATCTTCCAAATCCCTCTTAGTTACTTTATATTTCATCAAACGACTAGGCATTGCCTGATAACATGGATACAGAGCAATACACGATCTGCAAGTATAATCAATAAGAGCCAGAAACCAAGAGAAATCCCCTTTCTCAGCACCCGAAAGAAAATCCAATATAAAGGGAGAAAAAAACTCCTGAAAACAAAGGTTTTCAAAAGTTCAAAAGAAAGCGTAGAGGGAGAAGAGAAAATGAAAGAGAGAATCCATGGAACATACACCATGAGAAACTCTCTGCTTTACATTTTTTAAGGAAAATTTTTTAAATCTGTAGTTAATAGTTGAGGCACGATGGTTTCCGTTAGTCCTAACAGCCGCTCTTCTTTTTTTACGAGATCAATCCTCCTGAACTTATGGGTTACCGCGCAACTTAAACGGGCTGCTTGTATTCTAAAGTGACTCAAAATTTTGTCTTTGTTTTGTTTTTAAGATTGAAACTATATATATAAATATATATGCATATATATATATATATATAATTTATATTTGATATATTATTAGTGTATAAATTTTATATATTGTCAATAAATAAGATAATGCTAACTCATTAATAAATAAATATTAGCATTTAAAATAAATGTATAAAAATTAATATTTTTTAAAAAATTTATTGATTAATAAGATGACATTATTTAATTTATTTCATTAATGAGATGATATTATCTAATTTACTGATAGTGTATAAAATTTATATATTGATAGTGCATCAAATATAAATCCATATATATATATAAAATTAACTTTTTAGTAAAAAAGTGTATCGCATGAGCTTAAATATATAAAAGTCAAAACCTTTGACAAAAAATTATTTAATTTGAATAATTTATAATATTGATATGTGAATAATCTTAAAAATTTTCATGTGATATCTAATAAGTGCATTTTATTTTATTTAATACATTTTTAATTTAAAAATAATTCAAAAAACTAAATTATCTATATTTATATGTTTATTATTTACTTTAAATTACTCTTAATTAAATTTATATTGAAAGTATTAAAATTTTGATTGCTATTATTAAAAATTTCAAAATCTTTTTTTTTTTTTTTATTTCTCTTGAATACATTAAATACATTTTATGTTTGACCATTTTAATTATCAATTATAAATTACTCTCAATTTAAAATATTATTACACTTAATTTAGTTTTTTTTTTAATCAAGTAATCATTCCAAAGTATAAAATATTCCATAATTATTTTAAATATCCATTCTTTAAAGTAAGAGTTTTTTTAGATGCTTAGGAAATCAATCCCATTATTACATATTTTTTTTCTTATACTCCTTTTGCCATGGAGTTCCTTTTGTCATGGAGTAAACATAGCCTAGGTTTTTTTTTTTTTTTTTTTTTTTTTATGATGTTATATATTGATGGATTAGATGCACTAAAGCTAAAGTCAATTACAGTATACTAAAATTTTTTATTACTTTATGTTTGTTTTGAATTGTTTTGATTATTTTTTTATATGTTATTGTCTTTCATATGCACTTTTTATCATAGTTGTATAATAATTTTTTTAAAATCATTTTGGAAAGAGATTCTTTAATTTTAGAATATATGTTTTGTATTTGAATTTATATATATTATGTTTTATCATATTATATTTTATAAATATGATATTTGGACTATTTGTTTTTGTGCTTTTGAAGTTGATTGTTGAATTAAGTATTGTAGACACCAAATTTGTTCGGATTTCGATTTAAATCTTTTGATTTTAACTAGTTCATGGGCCAAAACTTGATTTCTTCTTTTGGGCCTAGGCCCATTGTTTAATTTTTAATTTTAATGTTATTACTTATCAAAATACAATACTATACTAAATAATAATTAATTAACTATACAAAAAAGGCAAAAAATAAGGGGGTTGGTGCCTAGGTGCTGTGCATAACACCACTAGCACCACCCACCCCTGCGAGCCCCTGTGCACCCATTGCAAGCCCTGTAACACCCATTTCCCAGGCCAAGCACTTGCTTCACCCACTTTCCTTGAACAATTGGCCTTATAAAGCACCCAACACCCCAACCCAGCAAGGTCCATAGTCTCCGGGCACATTTTACTAGACCCATTCTAGCCATCTTTTGTTTTCAACCAAAACCCACGCTAGCACACACCCTCCACACATGCACAATCCCTGGCCAACACTTGCACCAAGCCAACCCTCTAACCCAACATTTCACCCAAGCACCTCCCAACCTTGCACCTAGAACCCAAACAAACTATTATCTTGCCCATATCCTATTCGACCACCCACCAAGAATAACTAACCCCAACCAACCCTTGTCCAAGCCCTTTTCGGTTTCCACATCGGCACCTTTAGACCCAATCTTTCATTAGCCCCCACAACATCCGACCACCATTGAAAAGCTAAAAAAAAAGAAAAAGACCAAGGAAAACCCAAACCCAAAAAAGCCTAAAAAAATGAAAAAATAACACAGTCCCTACTGATCCGACGAGGAACCTAGCACCATTGCGAAGTCCCAGCAATAAAAAGAAACAACTTAGCTTTTGTATAAAAAATAATAATAATAAAAAATTTTTCTAGTTTGTCCAAACCTTAAAGGTTTGATCTAGGTCGTTTCGGTGAGATTTAGGTGAAACTGAGCCCAGAACATTAATAGGGACGTCAGGGAGAGTTAATGGCTGAATTTTTTAGGCCAAATAGAGTTGGTTGACAGTGGCCGATGACAAAGCATAGCGACGGCAGCAATTGGTCTCATCGAAAATTGGGTTTTTCTTTAAAGAATGAGAGAAAGTCTAAGAAAGAGAGAGGGTAGGGAGAGAAAGAAACGGAAGAAATGAAATAAAAAAATTTTGGCCTCTTATAGAGCTACCAAAAGAAAAGAAATGATGTTGTTTTAAGCAGAAGAATCCATGCGTGGACCTAGATCTGACTCGAGATCCGCTTGACTTGATCTAGCTTCTCACTTTAGCCAACCTTAGCTTATCTAGTTAGAGTGGTGTTAATCTGACTGTTGACTGATTTGGTTTAGATAAGATTTTATTTATTTATTTATTATATATTATTTTTAATTTTTATTATTAGTTAAGCATGTTTAAGTTTTTGTTAGAATACATGTCTATTTTTTTAATATTAATAATAATAGTAAATAATAATAAATAAAATCTAAATTTTGATAATTTTAAATTTCATTAAAGAAAAACTTAAAATAAACCTTATAAAATTATAAAATAATAATAACATTTAATAATGAAAAATGATTTCAAATTTTTTTCTTTTTAAATAATAATAAAATAAATTAAAAAATAAATAAAAGAGAATAATAACAAAAAAAAACTAAAAAAATCTTTAAAAAATGATAATAAAAATAAAGTGAAAATTTTTTTCCCTATTTAGACGATGAAGGGAATAAAAATTACCTTTTAAAAATAATTTTGCTTAAATTTTGAAAAATTATTAAATAATAATAATAAAATTAAAAGTTAATCAATGAATGATTAATAAATATAATGAATTCTTATAAAAAAATATAACTTTAGTTAATTTTTAAAAATCATAAAAATTGAACTTACTTTGAAAGTTTGCCTAGATGTTGAAGATTTTTAGAGATGTTTGAGTTTTTTTTTTTTTAAAAGAAAAACCTTCAAAACCCTCGAAATTCTAAAAGTTCAAAACTCCAAAACCCAAAATCCTAAATTCAAAACCTTAAACCCCTAAACCCCAAAACCATAAACCCTCAAAGTCCAAAAATTTTAAAACCCTAAAATCCAAAACCTTGAAATCCAAAATCCAAAAATCTCAAAATCCTCAAACGAGGCCCTAAATTCCAAAAATCCCTTAGGACCCTATATTTAACTTAAACCCTAAAATTAAGACGTAACCTTAAATCATCACCAAAACTTAAAGCCCCATACCTAAACCCATACTTAAAATCATTTCAAAACTCTAAGGATATAAATGAAAATCTCAAGTGAAGTAAATTATTCTCGAATGCTGCCTAGAAGATGGAGTATTTGAGAAATTTTATTTCATTAAGTTTTTTACATGAGTTTTTAACCTGCGATAATAATGATATTAAAATAAAAAAATATAATGGGATCTTAAATGTAAATAGTCGCACCTACACTTTGCTTAGATGTTGATAAGTTAGGGTGGTCTCATTATATTTAAGCATGCCATTTCAAAATTACATTTCATCATCATGCACAACATATAGTAATACATCTATTTATTATTGATTACACTCAATTCGCATGTTTACACATTTAGTTATCGTTCATTGTCTGATAATACTATTGTTAGCATTTTCGTATAAAAATGTGTTTAATTTAAAAATGTGGAATAAAGCAAAAATAACATCTTGAGGGAAATAATTATTGGTACTTTACCTAGATGTTCGAGAGTTATCACCAATTATCTTTCCCAGAGAATGTTATTTTTATTTTCAAGGAATGTCGTAGTAAATATCAGTTAAAAGAGATTGGTGGCAACTTACCATATTTTTCTTGAAAGTAAAATCTTAAACATCTTACGGTTCTAAAACTGTTACAACAGCTTGGTGACTCCACTGGGAAAGCTTTTGAGAGTCAAGCCAAAAAATTTATCATTATCCCATATTTTGAATTTAATGGTTTAATTGATATTTAATTTTAATTTCCTTAATTTTTTTCTTTCAAAAAGTAGTGCATGTTAGCTACATTCATACTTTTATTTTTTCATTTATTTATTTATTTATTTTACAATATTGTTTTATTTGTTATATTTCTCACATGCTTTGTATCGGCACTGGCATGCATAAGCTCTAGACTCGAGCTTTATTCCTATTAGGAGGAAGTTAAGTAGCTACACTTTTGTGAGGTGATAACTTTTGTATTTGCTAGCGAAACACTTTCACTCAGATTGAACCATTTTTGTTAATAGCCTATAATTGGTGAGGATTGAGTGCCTCACTAGTCTAGTATGGATGTTAATAAGGAACAATTTGAGAACTTTTAGACTCGGCATATAGTGAACACAATAAAGCATTGCCTTTTTGTAAAAGTAACCCAAATACATAATAAAATTTTGAAAAAAAAAATAGATAATAAAAGAAAAATATTTTCTTAAATTTTTTTTTGGACATGTAGTTCATTCATCTAGTGGTTATCTTAGCATTATCCAACAAGCATAAAAAAAAAATTTGCAAAAAAATTAAAGGTTTTTCTTAAATTCTTTGATTATTGGCCAAATAAAAATTAAATTTTCTCTATGATAAAAAAAATGTGTTTTTGAAGTTTTTTTCTCAAACATAAATTATATTAAATTTGAATTTTTTATATATATTTTGTATACATTTTTTATCTTTTAAAAATATATATAATAATAAAATAATACGTGCATTCCATTTTATCTATATCAATAGATAGTATATGC